GCTCGGGGCTCTGCGTCCTGCCCGCCGCGCGCTCGCCCCAGGGCTGCATGGACGGGCCTGGGCTCGGGCTGCTCGGGCTCCAGGGCGGGCTCCAGCTCGGCCCGGAGAGAGGACGGCGGGTCCGCTGCCGGGTCGCGATGCAGATGCTGCCGCGGATGCCGCTGCTGATGCGGCCGCTGCTTTCTCCACCCCACGCTCCGCTCGCTGCTCGGCTCGCTCTGCAGCCCTGACCAGCGCAGCACGGTTGTTTGCCGGGCCCGCCCGCACCACTTCCCCTCGAGGTCCTCCTCTGCCCCCTGATCCCCGGTGCACCCCCAATCCAGCCCAGCCCAGCCCAGCCCTCTACTGATCACCTGACCCCGACCCCGACCCCGAGCTGAGCATTTGCACAGATAGACCCCGACCCGGAGCTGAGCATTTGCACAGATAGGACAAAGTATGATAAATTATAGTGAAACTGTGAAAGAGAAGTCATGACACTCGTGGTCCTTCGGTGGAAAAGGATTTTCGGGGTGGTCATTCCCCTAAAAAGCAAAAATGTGGGCCTGGGACTGGAGAGCTGGAAAACAGAGAAGGCCGCCTGCCAGCCAGCGGCATATTGACTTAAAAAACCACTTATTTGGGGCAGCTAGGTGGCGCAGTGGATAGAACACCGGCCCCGAATTCAGGCAGGACCTGAGTTCAAATGCAACCTCAGACACATAACTCTGCCTAGCTGTGTGACCCTGAGCAAGTCACTTAACCCCAAATGCCTCACCAAAAAGAAAAAACCAAACCCCACATATTAACCTTATCTATGTTGCATTGTATTTTTTTATTTATTTCGTTGTAAACAGTTCTCAATTACATTTTTAAAAAATATATTTATTTATTTTTCGTTTTTAACATTCAGTTCCATAACATTTTGAGTTTTCCATTTTCTCCCCCTGCCCCCTCCCCAAGATCCCAATTACATTTTAATCTGGTCCTGGCCGCCCTCCAGAGCCGGTTGAGTGTCTCATTTCCTTAATGTTACAGAGCTGGAAACTGAAGCTCCTAGGTTTAGGGCTGGGAAGGTCATCTCGTCTAACCCCATCATTTTAGAGAGACGGGAAACTGAGGCCCAGAACCCCTCTCCGGCCCCGGCACACAGTAGGACTCCCCTCGACCCCGGGCCTCCCCGCCAGCTTTCACTGCCTCCCGCCCGCCCGTGCCACCCGCAGCCTCCGCGCGGCCCCAGAACCCGAGAGCCGACGCCTGGGGGCGGAGCCGCGGCGGGTGAGGGGCGGGGCCCGGGCGGAGCCGCCCCCGCGGCGCGGGGCATGGTGGGAGAGGAAGCGGAGCCCACGCTGCGCAGCGTGGATCATGGCGGGGGTCGCGGAGCAGCCGCGCGGCGCGGGACGCAGGTACGCAGCGGGGGGCGTGGGGGGCCGCGGTGGCGGCTGCGCGGACTCGGCGGCCGAGAGGGCGTTTGGGGATCCCCGGCTCTCCTCTTCCGGCCCCCGCCTTTGCTCGTGTTTCGCAGGAGGGGAGACGGAGGCCGGGAGGGACTTGTTCTGGATCATGGGGGGAGGGGGTTGCGTGGGGGAAGGAGACGGGGGTCCGGGCGCTGGCCTGGAGCCTCGTCCTTCCCTCACCTCTCATTTCTGGGGGGGGGGGGGCACCAGCCTTGACTAAACGGCCGCAGTGTGCTGATTGTCCCCATTTTACAGATGAGGAAACTGAGGCAGCCAGCGGCTTCGTTAGTGGCTTTCAGGTGGGGTTCCACAGCCAGTAGGTGTTTGAGATCAAATTTGACCTCCACCCTTCCTGACTCCAGGCCCCAGGCCCAGCTGTGTCCGCTGCGCTACCTAGCTGTCTCAGAGGCCGTGGGTTCAAATCCTAGCTCTGCCACTTACCACTTGTCTTGGGCCCTCAGTTTCCTTATCTGTAAAATGGGGGGGCGGGGCGGTGTTTGGACTCAGTGACCTCCAAAGTCCCTACCGACCCTACGTCTGGGGTCCAAGCTTTGGGAGAAATGGGCGCATAATAGCGTATTCAAGGCGGGTATGAAGTGGGTGGGGGAGGGAGGGTCTGTGGTAGAAGTGCTGCAGCTGGGTTTTGAAGCGAGCCGGGATTCTGGGAGGCCCACGGGAGGAGGGGGTGCATTTTCAGCCACGGGGAGTGTTGCCAGCGGTTAGAGTAGCAGTTAATTAATTTATGATGATGATAGTGACGACATTTATTTAAAAGGCATTTAATAGCGTATTTCATTTGATCTTAACACCTGTGTGAGTAAATGCTGTGGGTGTTTCCCCCATTTTGCAGTTGTGGAAACTGAGGCCTGCGTGCCAGGTTAAGGCATCTGCTGGTCTTCTTGCAGGAAGCTTGCCGAGCTGAGCGTGGATGAGTTCCTCACCTCCGGCTTTGACTCGGAGCTGGACAGTGGGTCAGAGGAGGAGGAAGAGGCGTCTGGGCCCCCCCAGGGGGCCCAGGATGCAGAGCAGAGCCGGGCAGCTCCGGGGGTACCCAAGAGGAAGCTGACTGCCCAGGAGGGGCTAGCCACAAAGTAAGGGATGGGGATGTGGGCGGTTATGGGCCTGTGCCCCGCTGCCTTCCCTCTGCTCCCTCCCCCTCATTAGTTAAGCTCACTTGGTTTCCCCCACCATATGTGGACACACACGGATGGGTCTCTGTCCAGTGGAGGTTGCCAAGGCTCCTGACCCTATTACAACCCGGCTTGTTCTCAGACTTATGCAGAGACACCAAGACCCCAGGCCTGTTCTCTGGGCTCTTATCTTCTGTAGGAAAGATCTGCTAATAGCAGGTTCTTGGCCCCTGCTCTCTTTGCCCCCTGTGGGGTCTCGTAGACAGATGGCACGGGCACTCACCATCCCAGTGCCCTTCAATGCACGGCCCTTAGCTGGCATTAAGAGGCTTAGAAGGGCCACCATCCCTCCCACCGCCAGCACTTACATCGAGAGACATGGGGGGCACTTTCTGTTAGCAGCTATGTGATTGAGGAGGCCGGGAATAGGCGATACAAGTCTTCTGACCTTGAATTGTCTGAAAGTCAGCTTGCTCAGATTTCCCAGAACCACAGGCCAGTTCATCTATCTGTACTTGCATAAATCTCAGTCCCCTTTACAGCACCCCTAAAAAGTGGCCATCCGGGCTTCACTTGAAGACCCTCAGTGATGGGGCACTCCATTACCTCACCTGGTGGCCCATTCCCCTGGGGACTGCTGTATTGTCAGGCAGTTTCTCCTGCTCCTAAAGAGGCCCTTCTTTAGTTGGCATCCATGGGCCAGTGCTGAGCATGTATCTCCTGGCCCTTCACCGTCTTTATCACCCTCCTGTGCGTGCTCACCAGCTTTTCAATGGTCCACATAAACCATTGCGTCCAGAACTGGACACAGTGCTCCTCAGGAGTTCTGATCAAGGCAGAGTATAATTTCACTGTTCCTCCTTCTTCCCTGAAGCCAGGCCTCTCTTGATGTAGCCCAAGATCCCATTAGTTTTTTCAGCTGTCCCATTGATGACTCTGCTGAATCAGATTGAGCTTGGGGTCCGCTAGAATTCCCAGATCCTTTTCAGACAAACTGCTTTCTAATCACACCTTCCCCATCCTGTACAGGTGACGTTGATTTTTTTCAGTCCATTTGTAAGATTCTGTTTACCTCTGTTGAATTTCGTCTTAATGTATTTAGCCTGCTGAGATCTCTCTGGGTCATCTGCATTTGATGAGAATAACTAGATGCCTTTATCTGAATCATTGATAAAAATGTCAAACAGGTCAGAGTTGAATCCAGAGCCCTGGGGCACTAGAAATTTCCAGCTGTGCTGCCACTGAACAGTAGTTGAGTGTGCTTTGAGTCCATCTGACTCTCCTCATCTAGCTCCCCTGTCTGTCCTCTTCATGAGAATAGCATGAGGCACTTTTTTTAATCAAATACTTTGCCAAAATCCAGGTCAGCTAGCTCCAGAGCATTTCTGTGATTTATGAGTTTTAACCCTGTCAAAAATGGTGGAAGGGGTATAGGGCTAGTCTGTCACGGCTATGCTTACTGAACCAAGGCAGGCTGCCTTGTGACCACTGCCTCCTTTTCTAAACGTTCACCAGCCATCTCTTTGATGCTCCGTCTTGGAATTTTCTCAGAAGTTGAAAAAGTCAACTCTGAAAACCTCCAGCTTTTTCAGATGAGCTGCTGGTTAGCTGTCTTTTACTGATGAAGTTGATTTTTCAAGGCCTTGGTTTTGGTCTGAGGGGCAGCATGCTGCATTTGGAGTCTGAGGTCCTGGTTTAATCCCAGGTCTGCCAAGAACTATCTGTGTGACCTCTGTGGGCCTCAGTTTCCTTATCTGTAAGATGACCTCTTGTCACCTCTGACCCTGATCATTCAGGTCTCTGGTGTCTTCTGACACTTGTCCCCTTTCAAATTTATCTTGGTTGATTCAGCCCCTCGCTTTTGCCCACATCTTTTTGTGCCGTTGGACGGCCTTCCCCTGGGTTGGCTCCACCCCTCCTGGCTTCACGTGATCTATGAAGCGGTAATTGTTCATTCCATCACTGCCTTCATCCAGGTCATGGATGAAGAGGGGACGTATTCCCTGGGGTTCTCTGCTTAGGACCCCACCCCCCTTCCAAGTGAAGTCATTGATGAACCCTGAGTGGAGGGAGGGATCTGAGTGTGTGTCTGGTCGGGGCCCTGCAGGAGGAGTGCCCACTGGCACTGGCTTGAAGACCCTGCAGGATGGGGCGCCCACCCTTTGGGCTGCAGCCCATGCCACAATGGGACTTCCCTTTTTCCTGGTGTTGTCTCTGAGTCGCCATCTTTGCTGTTTCCATTCATTGGTGTGCCTGGTTGTGCCCTTTGACACGACCCCCAAGCCTTTCACTGTTCTGGCTGCTCTGCTCTGGACACTCCCTGCGTAGTCAGGGTCCTTCCCACATTGGGACGCCCAGATCTGGACGCCGCCCTCCACACGGGTCTGCCTGGGGCTGAGGACAGCGGCCCCGTCCCCTCCGCCTCCCCAGAGGCTCTGGCTCTCTCACTGGGGACCCGAAGTCGTGTTGGCTGCTGGCTGCCTTTACCTGGCTTGTCTAGCTGCCTTCTCTCTGTCTTGTCCCCCAGGCCAGAACAAGGGCCTTGGTCATTCGCCGTGTCAGTTGTTGGCGGGGGTTGTCCCCGGTGGGTGTGTCAGTGCAGGCCAGCTCCCTCTGGTGCTCTGGGCGTGCCCGGGATCCCATAACATGTCTTATAGCCAAATGGAGGGCGTGCCCGTATCACCCGGGATTAGGCCTCTCTTGCCTGCTTCCTTCCTTCCTGGCCTCCCTGGGTGGTTGTTCCACGCCCTGCTCCCCTGCCCGTCCAGGCTTCCTTCAGACGCAGCTCGGATCGAGACCCGTCCAGCCCCTGTGTGTCCCCTGCGTGTCCCCTGGGAGGTGAGCTCCTGGAGGGCAGTCCCCTTCATCTTTGTCCTTGTATCGCCAGCACCCACTGTGGTATGGGGTGGGCGCCTGACCAGTGTTTGCCAGGCGATGGGCCGCTGTGCCCGGCCTGGTGGGCGTCCTGATCCCTGTCTGCCTTTGGTCTCCAGGAAGCTAAGGAAGGGTAAGGCGTCCGAACACAAGGACCAGCTCTCGAGGCTGAAGGACAAGGACCCCGAGTTCTACCAATTCCTCCAGGAAAACGACCAGACGCTCCTGAACTTCGATGACTCGGACAGCTCCGAGGATGAGGAGGACGAGAAATTCCACACGCTCCCAGACGAGCTGGAGGTGGGGAAAGCCACGGGCCCCACGGTGGGGGGAAGGGAGTGGGGGAGGTCCTGGGAGAAAGGTGGGGAGGCTGTGGGCGGGTACTTGGGGGGGCACAGTGAGAGGGAAGGGGGTGGGAGAGGGCTTGGGAGAAAGGTGGGGAGGCCACAGGCCCTGGGGGGGCACTTGGGAGGCCCCACAGTGAGGGGGGAGGGGGATGGGGCACAGCTTGGGAGAAAGGTGATGAATTCTGCTTGGGACACACAAGTGTGAGATGCCTTTGGGAAATCCAGTTTGAGGGGTCCCCAAGCCCAGTGGTGATGCAAGCCTAGAGCTCATCTGAAAGACTTTTGTGACTGAAAGTCACCTTTTGTGACTGGGGACCCTGGCCTTCTGCCAGCTGCCTCTGGGACGAGGCGCTTGGCATGGCAATGGCAGATTTGAGCTCTGGGCCCTGGCTGGGAAGGCTGTGTGTGCCGTCCTCTGGTGCTCATCACTGGCCTCGGCCCTACCTCTCCCAGGAAGCCAGTGAGGAGGAAGAGGAGGAGGAGAGCCCGCGGAAGAGCCGGTCCAAGCGGACCAAACTGACCCTCAGGATGGTGGAGCAGTGGAAGCGGTCGGCCAAGGTGAGGGGGGGAGGGGGCGTGGAGCCACCAGAGACATCTGAGCGTGCCTGTGGCCCCCAAACAGCCTCTTCCTGCCTCTGTCCTTGGGGCTCAGGACCTAACGCTCCTGCACACACGACCCCCGCCTTCGTGTCCCCCGGGTGCCCAGCTTTGTGACCCCACCGAGTCATTGACTACCTCGTAAACTGGTCAGGTGAAGAGCAGGGGCCAACGCCCCCTGGCGGCGGGGTCTTTGCGTCCGCGGGAAGTAGTGAAGAGAATAGACACTGATACAGTAGAAGGCAGCTAACACTGCATTCTGGGTCGATTTGAGGCCCACAGGGGCCCTCCGGCCATGCCCGTCTCCCACCTCCATGCCTTTGCCCCCTGCCTGCCCACAGTCTCGGCCTCCAGGCTCCCCTCTCCAATCGAGCTGCCAGAACCGTCTTTTTTACGGTTAGTCTAGACTTCCCTGCTCAGGTCATTTCTCCTCGTGTTTCTTCTAGCCTTCCAAGCCTTCTGTGTTCTGGCTCTGGCCTGCCTCTCCAGGCCTGTTTCACTCTCCTCCCCTTCACTCACCCTTCTGCCCCACCAGAGTGGAACTCCGTCTGCCCACGGAGCCATGGACACCCCCTGGCTTCATCCCTCTGCGAGGGCAAGCACCCCTCCACCCAGCTGTCTTTGAGAGGTCACCTAGCGCAACTCCCTTGTTTTCAGAGGAAGAACCTGAGACCCAGAAAAGGTGCTCAGAGGTCATCTTCCTGAGTTCAAATCCAGCCTCAGTTTCCTCAACTGTAAAATGGAGATAATAACAGCACCGACCTCCCAAGATTGTTGTGAGGTTCAAATTAGCACAGGGCCTGGCACATAGTAGGCGCTATGTAAGCATTAGCTGCTGTTGTTTTACAATTGAGTAAACTGAGGCCCCAAGAGGGGAGTGGCTTGCCCGGGTCACCCAGGGAGTGAAGAGAAGAGCTGGGCCTGGGCCCGGCCCTCGCAGCTCCTACAGGCTGTGACGGCCCCCATTGTCTCCTTTCTGCTTCAGGACCTCTCCCCTCGTCTCTTCCACGAGATCCTGCAGGCCTTCCGGGCCGCCGTCTCCACCACCTACGAGGACGAGGGCGGCAAAGAGCCCAGCAAGTTCTGGATTGCAGACAGTGCGGGTGAGCCGGGTGGGAAGCGGGGCAGGGCTTGTCCTGGAGACCCCAGACCCTCTAACTCTGTGTGTGGCCCGCGCAGTGTTCAACGCTGTCATCACCTTCTGCATTCGTGACCTCTTCCCCTGCCTGCAGAAGCTGCTACAGCTGAAGCCGCCCAAGGACAGAACCAAGTAAGGCGGGCTCCTGTCGTTGGGTGGGGGCCTCGCGAGGTGCCCTGGGCCCGGACTGGGGAGGGGTGGATTCAGGAGAACTCTGGACAGAGATGTCCAGAGGCCCAGTGATGTCCGGTGATGTCCCAGGCCTCTCCCTGTGTGCCACCTGCCCCTCCTCTGGATTGTAGGTCCTGTGCTTGCATGTCCTGCGTCCCTGACTAGATTCTGAGCTCCCTGATATTACGGGCCATGCCTTGAACCCCACATACTACCCTGGAGCACCTAGCAGTGCTTCACATGTAGGAGTCCCTGAGTGCTGGTGATTCGAGAGGTCTCAGAAAGCCAGGCTCGAGAGCTTTGGCCTAGCCTGCAGGCAGCATGAAGCCCTTGCCATTGGAAGGGTTTAGGTGGCACCAGATGCATTCCATTTGTTTCTTTAAGTATGAAAATTTTTTACATTTTTTCCAATTACTTGTAAAAACAATTTTTTAAACATTTTAAAAATTTTGATTTCCAAATTCTCTTCTTCTCTCCCCTTCCTGAGAAGGCAAGCAGTTTGCTATAGATTATACGTGTGCAGTCATGCAAAACATAATTCTGTATTAGCCACGTTGTGAAAGAAAACAGACAAAAAAGACCCCAAGAAAGATAAAGTTTAAAAAATGTGCTTTGATCTGTGTTCAGACTCCATCGGTTCTCTTTCTGGAGGTGGACAGCATTTTTCATCATTTTCATCATAAGGCCTTGGGAATCTTCTTGGATCTTGTACTGCTGAGAACTGCTGAGTCATTTCATAATTGATTATCGTTACAATATTGCTGTTACTGTATATGACATTCTGGTTCTGCTCACTTCACTTTGTATCAATTCATGTCAGTCTTTCCAGGTTTTTCTGAAGTTCGCCTGCTCATCGTTTCTTATGGCACAGTAGTATTCCATTACATTCATACACCTTAATTTGTTCAGCCATTCCGCAGTTGATGGACATCCCCTTGATTTCCAGTTTTTTGCCACCACAAAAAGAGCTGCTATAAATATTTTTGTACATAGTTTTCCTTTGATGTCTTTGGATACAAGCCTAGTAGTGGCATTGTTGGATCAAAGGGTATGCAGTTTTATAGCTCTTTGGGCATAGTTCCAGATTGTTCTTCAGAGTGCTTGGATCAGTTCACAACTCCACCAACAATGCATTAGTGTCCCCGCTTTTCCACATTTTCTCCAACATTTATCAATTTCCTTTTCTGTCGTGTTAGCTAATCTGATAGGTATTAGGTGGTACCTCAAAGTTGTTTTAATTTGCATTTCTCTAATAAATAGTGATTTAGAATATTTTTTTCATGTGACTTTGGATAGCTTTGATTTCTTCTGAAAACTGTTCATGTCCTTTGACCATTTATCAGTTGGAGAATGACTCATATTCTTATAAATTTGATTCAGTTCTCTATATATTTGTGAAATTAGGCCTTTATCAGACAAATTTGCTAAAAAAAAATTTTCCCTATTTTCCTGCTTCCCTTCCCATCGTGGCTGCATTGGTTTTGTTTGTGTAAAACCTTTTCAACTTAACGTAATCAAAATGATCCATTTTATATCTCACGGTGCTCTCTATATTTTGCTTGTTCCTAAGTCCTTCCCTTATCCATCAATCTGATGGGCAAATTATTTCATGCCCCCCAACTTGTTTGTGGTATCACCCTTTATGTCTAAATCACGTACCCAGTTTGACCATATCTTGGCATGCATTATGAGATGTTGGTCTATGCCTAGTTTCTACCATACTATTTTCCAGTTTGCCCAGCAGCTTTTGTCAAAAAGTGAGTTTTTATCCCAGAAGCTGGAGTCTTTGGGTTTATCAAACACTAGATTACTATGGTCATTGACTACTGTGTCTTGTGTACCTCATCTATTCCACTGATCCACTGCTCTATTTCTTAGCCAGTACCAGATTGTTTTTGTGATTACTGCTTTATGATGCACTTGAGATCTGGTACTAGTGGACCCCCTTCCTTTACTTTTTTTTTTTCATTGATTCCCTTGATGTTCTTTCAAATGAATTTTGGTTTGTTTGTTTTTTTAGCTCTGTAAAATAATTTTTGGTGGTTTGGTGTGGCATTGAATGAATAAATAAATTTAGGCACAAACGTCATTTCTATTCCATTGGCTCAGCTTAACCATGAGCAATTGATATTTTTCTAATTGTTTTGATCTGGCTTTATTTGTGTGAAAAGTGTTTTGTAATTGTGTTTGGATAGTTCTTAGGTTTGTCTTGGCCCAGGAGACTCCCAAATCTTCTGTATTGTCTACAGTTATTTTAAATGGAATTTCTCTTTCTATCTCTTGCTACTGGGCTTTGTTGGTTATATATAGAAATGCTGATGATTTATGGGGGTTTATTTTATATCATGCAACTTTGCTGAAGTTGTTAATAATTTTTTTTTGGGGGGGGAGGCAATTGGGGTTAAGTGGCTTGCCCAGAGTCACACAGCTAGTAAGTGTTATGTGTCTGAGGCCCGATTTGAACTCAGGTCCTCCTAACTCCAGGGCTGGTGCTCCATCTACTGCGACACCTAACTGCCCTCAGTTGTTAATTATTTCATGTAGTTTTTTAGTTGATTCTCTAGGGTTGTCTCAGTATACCGTGATATCATCTGCAGAATGATTGCTTTATCCCCTCATTGCCTTTTCCACTTCCTTCCATTTCTTGTTCTTTTATGGCTAGAGCGAACATTTCTAGCACAATATTGAATAACAGTGGTGATAATGGGCATCCTTGTTTCACCTCTGATCTTATTGGGAGGGCTTCTAGCTTATCCCCATTACAGATAATGATTGCTGATGGTTTTAGATAGATGCTACTTAACATTTTACGGAAGACTTCATTTATTCCTATGCTTTCTAGTGTTTTTAATAGGAATGGGTGTTGTATTTGTCAGAAGCCTTTTCTGCATCTGTTGAGATCGTAACATAATTTTTGTTTTTGTTATTGATATGGTCAACTATGTTGATAGTTTTCCTAATTTTGAACCAGCCCTGTATTCGTAGTATAAATTTCACCTGGTCATAATGTATGATCTTTGTGATATATTGCTGTAATCTCCTTGCTAGCATTTTACTTAAGATTTTTACATCAGTATTCATTAGGGAAGTTTGTTTGTAGTTTTCCTTCCTTGTTTTACATATCAGTAACATTTGTGTTATAAAAGGAATTTGGTAGGACTCCTTTGCCTCTTTTTCCAAGTAGTTTATATATTATTGAAACTAATTGTTCTTTAAATGTTTGGTACAATTCACTTGTGAATCCATCTGGTCCTGGGAATTTTTTCTTAGAGAGTTTATTGATGCCTTGTTCAATTTCTTTGTCTAAGATCAGGTTATTTAAGTGTTTTATTTCCTCTTCTGTTAATCTGGGCAATTTATATTTTTGTAAATATCCACCCATTTCACTTAGATTGTTAGGTTTATTGGCATGTAATTGGGCATAACTCCTAATAATTGCTTTAGTTTCATCTTCACTGATAGTGAATTCATCCTTTTCATTTTTTTGATACTGTTAATTTGGTTTTCTTTTTTTTTTTTTAATCAGATTAACCAATGGTTTATCCATTTTATTGGCTTTTTCATAAAACCGGCTCCTACTTTTGCCTATTAGTTCAGTGGTTTTCTTACTTTTCATTTTATCATTTCCAAATTATTTTCAATATTAGTATTTGAATTTCAGGACTTCCAATTTGGTATTTAATTGGGGAATTTTAAGTTTGTTCTTTTTCTAGTGTCTTTGGTTGCATGCCCAATACATTGATCTGCTTTTTCTCTATTTTATAGATATAAGCATTTAGAGATATGAATTTTCCTCTAAGTACTGCTTTGGCAGCATCCCATAAGTTTTGGTATCTTGTCTTATTGTTGTCATTCTCTTTAATGAAATTATTTATTGTTTCTCTGATCGGTTCTTTCACCAACTCATTCTTTAGGATTTGATTATTTATTTTCCAGTTAATTTCTAATCCGTTTCCATAGCCCTTTATTGAATGTAATTTTTATTGCATTATGATCTGAGAAGGATTCACATAATATTTCTGCTGTTCTGCATTTGGTCATGAGGTTTTTATCCCCTAACACATGATCAGTGTTTGTGTAGGTGCCATGTATTGCTGAAAACAAAGTATATCCCTTTCTATTGCCATTCGTTTTTCTCCAGAGGTCTGTCACATCTAACTTTTTAAAAATTCTATTCATCTCCTTAACTACTTTCTTGGTTTTTGTTTTGTTTGTTTTTTAGGAAAGATTTATATAGTTTTGTTTGTTTGTTTGTTTGTTTGTTTTTTTGGTGAGGCAGTTGGGGTTAAGTGACTTGCCCAGAATCATACACTTCATGAGTGTTATGTGTCTGAGGCCGAATTTGAACTCAGGTCCTCCTGACTCCAGGGCCGGCGCTCTATCCACTGCACCACCTAGCTGCCCCAATTTATGTAGTTCTTAGAGGGGAAAGTTGAGGTTTCCCCGTAGTATAGTTTTACTGTCTATTTCCTCCTATAATTCATTTAATTATTCCTTTAAGAATTTGGATGCTACACCATTTGATGCATTTATGTTTAGTATTGATACTATTTCATTGTCTTTGGTATGTTTTAGTAAAAGGTAGTTTCCCTACTTTTCTCTTTAAATTAGACCTATTTTTGCTTTGTCTGAGATCATGATTGCTACCCCTGCCTTTTTTTTTTTTTACTACAGTCGAAGCATGATAGCTTCTGCTCCAACCTCTCACTTTTACTGTGTGTGTGTGTGTGTGTGTGTGTGTGTGTGTGTGTGTGTCTCAGACACATGTGTTCTTTGTAAACAGCATGTTGCAGGATTCTGGTTTTTAATCCATTCTGCTCTCCACTTCTGTTTTATGGGTGAGTTCGTCCCATTCACATTCACATTTATGATTATTTATTTCTTTCCATCCTATTTTTTTTCCCATTTATCCTTCTCTCTCTTCTTTCACCCTGTTCCTCCTCAGCTTCCACTGCCTACCC